AAGTCATTTTTACTATCATCTCATAACAGTTCCTTTATAATAAAAACCAAGATAGCGAGACTGTTCACAAAATATTAGTGCTGTTGTAGTTCCTGTTGGGTGCCACTAGAGGTCGCTAAAGAACACCTAGTAAATACTTTGAGTGACTGAATATTTCAAAACATATTTCAATAAAAATGTGGTGCATTTTAGAAGCTCCTCTCAATCTTACTTTGAACACAGTAAAATTGCTGTTTGACTGCATGAACCTTTCATGTCTTTCACGCTACATTCAAAAATACAACAACAGACAAATCATAAACATAAACTCACAGCCACTGTTGAACTGAATCACAGTGTGGTGCGGTTCATTAGTAAAATTTACAATGTCCGTTTCTCACCTTTGACTCGTATCCTGTGAGGAACTTCATTTCTCTGGATTTCAGTAGGACACCTTCTCTGTCCTGATCTGCAGCCGCTTTTATAATCTGAGTGAGAGAAATCGCACCAGACGGTTTCACATGTCGAAAAGATATTTCTCAACTGAAACTTATTAAAATTCTTGTCTGCACAACAATAAAGCACATCATCTGTCTTAACCTGTGTAGTTGACAGATATTCTCACACCAAAATGACAAAAACAGAGTAACTTGAAAAGGACTGCAGTCCCCCCATGATTCAACAGCTTGTAGAACCACCTTTAGCAGCATCAACCTGAAGAACTCGTTTTCTGCACGGCTTTATGAGTCTCTCACAACATTGTGGAGGACTTTGGCCCACTCTTCTTTATAGTGTTGCTTCAGTTCAGTTTCTGGGACCACAGCATTTCAATCAGCTTGAGATCTGGACATTGGGCTTTTGCAGCACCTCGATTCTTCTCTTTTTTCCAGCCATTTTGTTCTAAACTGGCTGCTGTGCTTTGGATCATCATACTATTGCATTTAGCTGCAAACCAAACCAAATCATCACCCCTACACCACGGTGTTTCACAGCTGATACGAGGAGTTTGTGCTGATATGCTGTGTTTGGTTTTCTCCAAACATGGAGCTGTGCTTTCGTCTCATCGGTCAAAATGACTTTAACATGTTAACTGAGGTCTGCAGAGTGTGAGATGTAGCTATTGGGTTTTTTGGGTGACTTTACAGGGAAACGCCTAAATGCTCCAGACCAGAAAACTCCAAAAACCTCTGTTCTCTATAGAGATGCTCACACTTGCCGATGTTCATTCAATCAAGCGCATTTCATTAGCAGTCTTGCCTGCTTAATTCTGTCAATCGAAGCAGTGTGCTAAGTTTTTCACATCCTTTTTTCATATTTGTATGTGTTTAGTTTCTTGATAGTCTTCATGAACACTATTTTCCAAATACAAAACAAAATGTTGTAATTACAAGTAATAATCTAAGTGTACTTCATGTGACCAGAATTATCTGGACCTAGAATGGGTTAAGGAGCAGCCAATGTTCAAGAAACTTTGAAAGACTTTCAGAAAACCTCGACAACTACAAGTCTAGACCACTTAAAAAAACATTACACAGCACATTAGAAGAATAATTATAAAGAAATGACATAACATTTGCACATCACTGTTTGAGAACTAGATAAACTAAATTCTCAGGCAGGTGGAACTCACATGGTGTACTCTCTATTTCAACTA